GTAGGTGTAGGTGTAGGTGTAGGTGTAGGTGTAGGTGTAGGTGTAGGTGTAGGTAGTAGTAGTCGTCGTCGTCGTCGTAGTAGTAGTAGTAGGACCAGCGGACCAATGGACCAAAGGACCAGGGGACCTAAGGACCACTTTTTTTGGGGGGGTTGATCCTGTTCTGTTTTTTATAGTGTTATTTCTTATTTTTATGTTTTGGATCCTGATGCCGGTAGGGATGGCCGGTTCAGCGTCTGTTTTTCGCTCATGTCTGTTTTGCTTGTTTTAGCTAAAGCCTGGCTAGAGGCGTGGAGACTAAGGTGCTACATGACATATGCCATGTGGCATTGCAAAAACTGCTCTTAGTTGCTCCATCCCAGCAATTTCGGGAGAAGCACCCTGGGAGTCCAAAGTCAATTTGAGATCTGAGCTCCACGAGTTCATTCAACATCGAAAAAACCTCCCTTCGGTGACCGGTACGTCTCACACTGGTGACACAAGTGCTTCCCCGATGACACTCGTGATATCTCGTGATACATCTCCAAGCCGCAATCGCAATGGGCCCTGTGCCGGTCTCCTGTGTGCCGAAAACGGAACACCGAGCCAAAATGGGTCCCGAACTGAGGACCGGGCACAGGAATCCAAGAGACACCCTCATGCTCTTGGTGGTTGGCCGGTAGCCGCCACGCGAAGCCAATTTCCATGATGTTTGATTCCCACATGCATCAAAGATCGTCAAAGTGTTGGTAGATTAGCGAGTGGTTGCCGTTACCGTTTCTTGTTCGAGAACTCTGTTAGTGCCCCATCGCTTCCTGCCACACCTTCCGCCATCTGACCAGTGTACGGTCAGCAGCCTGGCCTGAAGCTCCTTGAGACCATGCCTTCAGAGGACGTTTGTTGACACAAGCTGATCTAATCTTGGTCAAATCCTCTGCGACTGGGTGGCAGTACCGTTCTACCAAACCCTCCTTCGTTTCTGCCCACTCAGCGCCAAGCGCTTGGCGCCAAACAGGCGCGCAACAGGCGCCTGTTTAGCCAGGTCCTCAGGTGCTGTACATCTTTCAGTCTCGGTCGAGGGCGGGGCGGACGGCTCCTGCATACTGGAACTTCGTCCCTTGGCCATGTACTTCCTCAGCATGTCTCTCGCGCTGTCGCCCATGGCGACCGACTGCACCTGGAGGTGAAGTGAAGTAAGCAGTCGGGCCAGGTCAGGGAGAAAGGGCCGCCGTCATTTTACCAAACACAGGGTATCAGAACTCTCTGCGTGGGCTTGGGGTATCAGAACTCTCGTAAGCTTTTCAGATCTGGACGACAAAAAGGACGTATACCAATATATTCAAATTGAGCCAAAGATTGTCTAAAGACAACCACCCCCCCAAACAAGGAGTTCTATTGCCGGTGGTTTTAGTAATTTGGAATCATTTCGATGTCATCTACGGTGAAGGCCATCGCCAGTGCAGATGTCCGCATGAGGTTTCTAAGCACTGTCTGTGACTGCAGCACATGCCGCTCAAACGGTTTTCGGATGACAAGTTCGGTGAAAACTGGATGTCCCCCGTTCTCTGTCACATGAGCAGTTGTTCACTGCTGTGGCGCCTTCACGATTGCAGGCGCCCAAAAGCGGACAAGGATAGTGACCATTTCTAAAGGGGCAATCTACAGAGTACAATGAATGATATGTAGAAATGTCCTGAGCGTGTGAATGTGTTAGTCTTAATCTTCAGAAAGGCCCTTTGATCCCACGAAATCGCCTACTTGCCTTTGATCCCATGTGGAGAAACAAACAACCGCAAATCTAGAAAGGTCGGATTCAAAAGGATTCAGAAGAGACCAAAGGACTCAGAACGACTCCATATACAGTAATATATATATATACATACTCAGAAAAACTCAGAGCACTTCAATGTTCTTTTGGGTGAGGCTCGGTTCACAATCAAACTACATCAAACTACTACACAATACAAACATGATACATGATATTGACTCAGCTTGCCCATGTTTGCAGCATCCTTCAGATCCCTCCATCAGCTGAGAAAAGGAACCCTTGGAGCAAACGCGTCATACATCCAATGCGAACAAGCATCAAATGCCTCACCCTCACTTCCATCCTCCAGCATGTCGCATGGGCCGTCCGGGATGTCGACTGCTTCTCTTCTGGCTGGCGCTTTCACGGGGGCGCCCTGCACCCCTGTGGGTTGCACCAGAGCATCCACCCCGTCAAACATCTTCATCAAGCGGATGATCTCCTGACCATGCACAAAAATGCAGCTGGACATGCACAGTGTGTTCCGATCAAAGCTGTGCTCGGATCAGCGCCCCGAACCTTTTTCCCGCGTCGTCTTGAGTGGCTGAGCTGAGCGACAAGGACCATCCCAAGTCACATGTACGGTATTATATTTAGAGCTCCACACACACTTCCAGACATCTCCAGGCCAGCCAAGCTGCTGAATCAAGCCTTTGCAAAATGTCGGCTTGCGACGCAGCCAGCACAGCTCTTAGAGCATGAAGACTTGCCAGTTCAGGTCTGTCCGTCGGCCTCGCGGGGAAGAGGCCGAAGGTCTGCGAAGGGAGTCAACGCTGAAAGTGTATAAATGGAGGTTGAAAGACCTCGCGGACACACAAACATGTTTCGCAAGGAAAGTGGCTTTCCATGGTGGATGTCTGCGGGAGTTTGGTCTTCTTGATGCATCTGGGACATGTTTGAAACCTGTTGTGATCCTGCTTCACTTCCTGCTTCCTATAGGCCAACTCCATGGGAGATGCGTTCACAAGCGACAAGGGGTCTCTTCGCATCCTACCCTGAAACTGGCAAAGCGAAGAGTCCTCAACACTCTGATGCTTTTGGTCCGGCAAAGTGTGCACCATGTGATGCAAAGGCATCCACCCCTATCCCCCTAAAAATATATCCATAGTCATGGGCCATTATGCGCATTATGCATCTTGGAAAATCAGGTCTGAGTCAGCCTGCATACTTTTCCAACCCAACTAGGACACCTAGCCCCCATTCTTGAAGCTACTAGTAGCTCCTGGCATCACTACTAGGAACAAGAGGGCGCTACTAACAAGCTTCCCAACGAGCCTAGCCTAGCCCATCCGTCCGCCCCCATTCTGCTGCGAGCTGCGCGGACGCCGACACCCCTGTGTCTGACTCGGCGCCCTTCAGCGTCGGAGGTCGCCGCTGCCGTGGCGGCGGCTTCGGGGGAGCTTCATCCTGAGGCGAAGGTGCTGAGCAGAGAAGACGGCCCATGGTCCTTTCGTTGCCAGCAATTGGTGAAATCCCCTCAACACAAAGCAGCATGACCATGGCCAATCTACCAAACCAGGAGTTTTTGACTCCTGGCAAGGGCTCGCCGACCAATTTGGACCTCACGTCCATGGACGACATCCAATCCATCCAAGAGTCGGGAGGACACATGGGTGTAAAGGAATCGCTGGAAGAGGCTTGACATGTTGCCCTTGGATAGCCGGCGAGGCCGATAGGCAAGTTCGCCCCCCCAAGGCCCATCGTGCACGCAAAAACAAACACCTTCCTCTAGCTTCTTGCTACTAGTAGTAATATGTAGTAATGCCCTTGTTACTAGTAGCGATGCCAGGAGCCCCTAGTAGCGTTCTTGCTCCTAGTAGTAAGGCCAAGAGCCCCTAGTAGCTTCTTGCTACTAGTAATGCCCTTGTTACTAGTAGCGATGCCCTTGTTGCTAGAATCTTGTTCCGAATAGTAGCTTCTTGCTCATAGTAGCGATTCTCTCAAGTCCCAAGCCACGACAAGCCTTTGTGGAACCTTGATCACCCTGCAACTTCTGGCACCCCAGCGATGAAAGAAGTGGATGCCCTCACAATGAGGACCCTGTCAGGGACCCTGATTACAAGGCCACTGCAATTCAAGATTGCGCCCTCAATGGCTTCGGAGATCATCCACAATGATTTCTCAAGTCCTTGAAAGCCTTGGGGCGCCCTGGCCGCCGTAGGAACTATAGGTTAGCACCTAAATAACGAGTCCCCTAAGAACCTAAAACCAGCCACATGCATCGAATCTGGGGATGTTCACTTGTTCCCCATGTCAGGCCATGCGATATGGGAGAAGGTCGGATCTCAGCTACTAGCACCTAAGTAGTATCTTGGAACGATTCAAAACGTTCCGTCAAGAATGGGCTGATTCCTTAAGCAAAAATCCGTGCACAGAGCCCCCAAAATAAAATGCATGCACCCTGCCCTATACATATTGACTTGGGTCCGTGCAACTCAAAATAATCAGCACGAACAAACGCCATCCAAAAGCCTGGCGCTATATATCCAACCACCTCAAGAGGCAGAACAACACCTGCACGTGCGGGGACGAGCGTCATGCAGGCGAATGAAGCACTCTGTTCCACACTCAGTTCCTCCACGGTTTCGTGGCACTGTGTGTGAAGGCTCGAGCCGAAAAACAAAATGCCAAGCAGCAATGAACAATGCATAGCCCCAAAGACTAGCGCATCTCAGACCAATAGAACCCTGGAGCACCAGTTTCCCTGACAAACCCGAACATGCTGTTCGGATTCAATTCTCAACTTGGGATCTTGCAGGTGTAGAATGTCATGGCGAATCACACTGGATCTTCCAGAGTCTAAGGGCCAACGGACGATCAAGACCGCACCATGCTGCTAGATGTAGCGAGGGATGCCAGGCTGCTAGTAGAAAGCGCTTCACACTTCTTTGTCTGAATTTCCAAGACGTGACTTTGTGCTTCGAAGTTGGTGGGAATCCTACTGTTTTACTGACGCCTCCAATACCAGAACCAGTGTAAGTATATGACGTCCATTAAGGAAAACTATATATATATAACTATATACGTATATATACACCTGCATCTTCGTTGGACAAAAAATGCGCACTTGATTTTGGAAGAAATGTCCGTGTACTCTAAAGAAATCCGCGCACTTGAAAACAAAACGGCGCAATTTTGTGAGCATGGTCCTGTGTTGAAACACACAAAACGGCCCAGGTCGCCATTTGCGCCGGAGCCTGCGTTTCCAGCTCAACTTTCGGATCCCCCATTTAATTTTGACACGGATCCGGTCTAGCCCTCTGTGGCTTCCAGTTCTTGAGTTCACTTTCTGACATATCCTGCTAACATGTCCCACCACAGATTCATAAGCTTCGCAACTGTTGGCTAGTGGACGGGGAAAGATGTGTATGAGAAATACGTGTGGACGGAGAAAGTCGTGTATTTGGTGGGAATTTCCGGGTAGAACTACTTTGTCTCCCGGGGCTTCAACAAAATGAAGCCCTGCCGGTTTGACAAGCTCGAAATCTGAGGAGGGAGCAGCGGACGCCATTCCTTTGGGATGGACACACCATTCGGCCCACAAAGGTATCTCACTACTTCTGACATAGCTGCATGTTCTCATTTGTCACCGTATGACGGGCTTTGTTTGGAAGTGGGGGACAAGCCACTCAATACAGCCAAAATGGCTACAATCAGAAAACGTGCATTTCAAACAGCTTGTGCTTTTCTTGAAAGACGTGTAGTGTAGTGCACAGGAAATTCTGAATGCACCCTTATTTTTGATCATTTGAGGTTGCAGGTATGTGTGTGTGTGTGTCAACTCCTGTCACTGTCTCTAAGGAGATTTTCATAAAGTTGTACAGATCAGCAGGGGATCGATGGGGAAGATACGGCAGAGAGGACCTGCAAGGCTCTGCCCAATGAAGCTCTTAACACTAGTCCTAGGAAGCGGGAGCTGATAACTCCTGTGTACCTGCGGAATTTAATTTCCTCTTATTGAACTGTTGGCAACGCTGTGACTCCTATCTTCGCGTAAAGTGCTAATGAGTCCTTGTTGAAACCTTCTGTTTGACCGACCCAGCATTTCTTGTCGTTCCCTCAAATCAAGCGCTAAGTATTCATCTAAAGGGCTAATGCACTGGAGTTCCAAACTGCTTTAGCTCTTGCGAGCATGGATCTAAGTAGTGTGTTCAAGGTCTTTGACACTAAGCCATGTCTTCGGATTGGCACCGCTTTCGCTGATGCCGAGAACCGGGATGTGCCCCCAAATGGCTGGCAAGCATCAGCTCCACGAGCACCGGGCGACTATCACGGCCTCAAAACGCGTGGCAAAATCCAAGCTCCTCAAAACGAAAACATGTTTTACACGCAATAAATGCACTGTGAATCTCTGAAAAACACCCCTCAACATCAGTCCACAGCATGAGGCATTCTTGCAGTCAGCCCAGGCGGCAAGATTGCACGAAGAGCTGGTGGCAAAGCTGAGCGCTCGCAGGCCAGGTGTCCAAGGCGCCTCCTGCACGTCCTGGCACAGTGGATCATGATGTTTAGGTTGCAAACCCTTCTGTCCCAAATAGTGACGTTCTTTCCCGACTGTTACGGTGACAGAAGTAGTGTCAGGTGTTCTGGGACACCCCCTGTCTTGCGAACGTAATGGGACGGAGCGCTGCTTGCAGCGTATAAAACGGTATGTATATATGAACTTATATAGTAAGTTCTGCTATGTATAGGGCTCGCTACCCCATGTGAAGCACCGTTTTTCAAGCATGGCCTCAAGCATCCGAGGAAATACATGGTTGATGAACAAATCCTGTATATGCTGGAATCATGCATCAAATTTGATGCAGGGTTTTCTTCAGCAGTGGTCTCCACTTTCTCCCCTCAGTGCTTCAGAAGTCCGAGTCAAGAGTTACTGGCATCACCAAGAATGGCTGCAGTGACTGCAAGTCTCGCTTTGTAAGTGAACTCCGGAGAGGTTGCAGGTCTTCGACCCCAACAGGGGTACACCTGTCTTGCTTCATGCCACCGCCAGTCCGATCTTGAAATCCACGACCGTCCAGTCCGAGGTCGTCTTGCTGAGCACGTAAATCGAAGAGGGTGACGAGATCGCCAATGGCCTGAGCATCGGGCGATCGCGCGCACCCAGCAGGGCAGGTAGCTTGACACAGGAGGTTGCGGTGGCGGATCATACACGCAATGCACTGATGTATAAATAGAGAGTTGGACCAAAACATGAGTTAAAATAAGCTATCAGCCAGGGTGTTCTGTAAAGAGACCACACCCAGCATTCACTCGAACACCCAGCATCCACGAGTCTTGGGACCGAACTCCCCAGAGAAAACACATATGAAGGAACAAAACCAGAATGAAGGAACATGAAGCGAAAAGAAACAAAAACAAAACAACAACAAAAGCATGAGGTCTCAAAAAACTATTCCGGACAATGATGCAAAAAGCCTGATGTCCTGATTTCTGGGCAAGAAAAACAAAGGAAAAGACTGCTGTCTCAAAAGGCCTTCTCCACCTGACGAATCCACGCCTTCCGCTCCTGCAAGAGGTGGGCCACCTCCCTGCCAATCGGATGGCCATGGAGAAATTGCATCAGCCCGTCCTCGGTGCAACGGCTGACCTCAACAAGAATTGAGTGATACCAAAATCGATAGAGTGAACGAACTTCATATATTCGATATATATATATACTATACTTGTCAATTTCCCTCTAAATACAGTAACATTATATTGGAAGTCGATTACTTCATCGGGGGCCCTCTCTTTGTGTGTGGGGATGTGTTCCGTCACCATTTGCTCCACAAGTCACTGACTGAGCTTCTCATGTCTTGTGCACAAAGCAGTGGTTTCGGAAAAGGTTGCATATCCCCTCAAAAGCTTAATTACCTTCAACCAATGACATACAAAAATGACTTAGGGACTTTTTTGATTATATACAACCAAGTTTCAAGTCAACATCGACATTCATATTGGTGACTTCATTCAATGATACTGTTTCGGACTCAAACCGGTTTTCTGTGCATGAGCTCTCTTTTCTCCGCTGCGTGGCTGGGGTGGTCGTGGTCTAGCTTCGGTACTATTGCGACCCCCCGGCGGTGTCCGAAAGAGACGGGTCCCGGGGCATCGGAAGATTGCAGAAAAAAAACGCCTCTGGACAAGTCGTCAACACGTAGCAACTGGAGATTTGCTTGGGGGATGTCCTCGCCGCATGGACCCACTGTGATTTACTCGCCAGTCTCTTCCCACCAAAAATCCGGCCAAACGCTGTCCCATGTGTTTCGCTGCAGGGGTGCACACCTTCCAGTGGCGGCCCGTGAAGATGAAAGATGAGCCCGGCAGAGTAGGTAGAGAAAATATATTACCATAGAACAATTAGTCGCGAATTTGTGCAAGCTACCACCCTCCACCCCAAAAAAGAAACAGATTCCCCCAGCCCCCCCTCTATATCGATCCCGGGCCAGGAGCCACATCTTGTCCGGGCTCGGGATCCAGCAGCCCAGCCAGCAAGGTGCCACAATCCGCACCGAGCCGGGCCAAGGTCAACAAATGTGCCGCCTCGTGCACCGCGCTTCGCGTGCACCGCGCGAAGCGCGCCGAACGAGCAGCGAACTCGCGCGATGACCTGAGAAGCGGCTTGTGAAAGGCGGGGCCCTTCCGCACCAATGGATCCGTAAGATTCAGTAAGAGTGTTTGCCTATTAAAGGAACTTCTCCACGAAAATGAGGTGTTGGGAAACATGTGCTTTTCTGCAGGGAACGGGGACAATTCTGCTTGGGGAACTTCGTTTACTTCGTTTGCAACGAGCTGTTGGTGCAAGCTGGTTTGGGTTTGCCATCTTTGGTCTGACTTTCGCTAAAAGCCGCGGATTGAGCACAGAAGATATATCCCATGCACTCCATGTATGCCATATATGCCTACATTGACCCCCCAAAGCACCCCGATGTAGGCATATATTCTATACATGCAGCGTCTGGGCATATACTGTATATATATATATATATGTAGACGAGGAACTTCGAACTCCTCCTTCTGTGGCTTGGATTCTATACAAAGCCCCTGGTTGAGCTTCAAATTGGGAGTCGCCTTTCTGAACTTGTACACATCCTACAGTGCATCATGAATAATTCATATGTCCTGTCTGCTTCTTGCATAGAAACTGTGTGGACTTGTTCTCATGCACACACCATGGTGCCGACCTTTGGCAGAAGACATGCCAATGTTCAAATCAAATCAAGCCACAGTGGTTCCAAATGCCATACACACATTCATACCGTCCATACACACGCATATACATTTGCCGCTTCGTAGACCACACCCTCGCCCAAATCCTGTGCATATCTGGATTCACATGGATGCAGGGATTGATTAGTTGATTAGCAATGAAATATGAAACAGGACCACGCACCCACCGTGTGCAAGTATGACAGGTTCCTAGGGGTGAACGACAATGACCCCCCAATGTGAAGCAATCCCACGGCCACCAGTCCATGCGTCCAACAACGGACGACGAGAGTCCTTCCGCTTCCAGAACTTTTCATCCTCGGCGTTCGACTGCGTGGCCAAGAACATGACCGCTTTCTGCCCAAAGCGCTTCTCCTGCGGAGTTCGCTCCACGCCGCGTTCGCGGATGGGTGTTTTCACCGGCTCCCAGGGGAAAACCCACGCCCCGAAGGGGTGACACCCACGCGGTGGTCTCCTCTTCGGTTGGCAGGAATCGCTGCAAGAGGGTCAATGTGACCTGCACCAGGGTCAACTGTCTCAAAGAAAAACCAGTGATTCAACCAACTGATGAACATCGAAAAAACACCTTGCATCGTCTGCATCGTCAACAAACTCTTAGATGCCCGATGATGCCCGGCTGAGATTCACATCAAGAATTGCTGGCGTGATCTTGAAACTGATCCAGACCTCTGCATGTCGGGGAAGAAGGGAACCAAAGACCACCTCAGCACTGAGTTGTCGAACTCTAGAAGTCTAGCCTTTGGGCAGGAATTTGGAGGCCATCGCTAGTAGTACCAGTAGGTTGGCGGCCATCGCTTGAGCAGCAGGAAAGTCGACATCTGGTTGCTGCGATGAGGGCAAAACCCTTCTCCACTTCTTTGCCCATGTCAGCTGATGGTGTTTGGGCGACCACTTCATGGAGATGAGACGTAATATCCAGCAAGTATGAAGTGTCATGTCATGTCACCTCCCCGTGATGACCGACGTCATGACGCGAATCCTGATGGACAGCCCGTGTTGAGCCAGATCCCCAACCAGTGGTCGGGTAACATTGGGTAACCATGTGCACCATCTGAGCCTATCCATCCATTGGGTATCGTTGGGTCCTCCGAACCTCCCGTCCGTCCTCCGGCGAAAAGCTCCTCCGAACCACCGCGGAAGACGGGACGGGTCTCAGACGCGACGCAACGCGTCTCTTCGACTCCTTCGATCGGACTCTCCGAGGCACCAGGGACTGACTCGAGGAAGCGATGGAGTCGAAGGCGAGCGTGGCCTGCATACGACCGGAGCGACGTCGACGAGCGGAGCGACGAGCTCGACGTCGGACGATGGTGGGCGAATGAACGTGGGTCATATCCAAACAATGCATGTCCAGACAAGCTCAAGCTTAGAATGGTTCTGGGGACATACAATGACCACCGAAACCATTTGGTGAGGAGAAAGTGAAACAACCTTTTGAAAGTGAGAGTTGAAGGAGAAGGAAAAGGACGGGAAAAGGACAAAGGAATGGAAGGGAAGCAGGTAAGGGAGAGGGGAAAAGCAAAGAAGAAGAAATGGAAAGGGAAGGGAGAAAGCAAGGGAAATTGGAAATGGAACGGCCAAGGAAGAAGCAAGAATAGAAAGGGAAGGGGAGGGAAGAGAGATGGGCAAAGCTTCAAAGCTCTTCTGTTTCGATGGTTGGCCCATCTGCGTGGGTGAATGTCTATGCCAAACAGAAAGAATTGGGTTCTGGTGAACATCTACAGTATGAACCACTGATGCGTCTGCAACACCATCTCTTCAACTGTCTTGGTGGCCTAATTGCATATCTGAGTTCATGTCTAACTGTCTAACTTGTAACCCATGGATTTCCGCGATTTTAGCTCAAGGAGCCACACAAAGTCATGGGAATGTGTTGTCCATGGCTCTTGCAATCCATATTCTGCCGCCCTTCCGAGCTCCACTAGCTGCACAGGGCCCTACAGGCCCTACAGGCACAGGGGGTGGCCCCATCCCCACTCTCTCCATCCGCCTCAAGACCTTCACTTCGCAGAAGGCCCTCATCGAGGTCGTCCTTAGAGGGTGACCTGGGCAGGGTCCATAAAGCCCTCAAACACCAAGGCTTGAGATATGTGGTCAGCTTAGCGTTGTCAATTCCAGTCGCTGGACTAAGCTGACCAAATATCTCAAGCCTTGGTTCTTGGTCCTCAGTGGATCAAGCCTTGGTCCTCAATTCCCACTGGGTCACTGGATCGAATGCGGTGCCATCCACTTCCGAGGCGATGGCGACCCCAAATGCTGCTCCGGCCTAGAACCCATTGGGCCTCTGTTTGAAGGAAAAACCATACACCATTGGGCTCCCAAAGGTCAATCAACTCTGGGGTGCATAGGAGCGTTTACAAGTTCATCTTCCTGGCTGTGGAAGATCATCTCCGTTACCCGTTGTCATGTTGAACTCTGTTTTTGACAAACCTCTGAGAAGACACCAGGCATAAAGCCACGAGCAAAAAAACAAAGTTCTGTTCTGTTCTGAATCGGCATTCGCATGCTTACTTTGGCGTGCTTACTTTGGCGGGGTTTGCTTGGTAACTGTTGCAAGCTTGACCTCGCCGCACGGCTTCATTCAAGCTATCTAGTCACATGCCAAACCAAAACCCAAAAAAAAAACGTTGGAATTGATCTCCTTCGGCCCAACATAATCGCAATGCCCATCATCCAAGTGCATCCAACAGACCAAGGTCTCTTCTCTTCAGGCTTGCTCTCTCTACCAAACCTCAATGGTAAAAACCACTCGTCGTGGCCGGGGCTGCGATCTGATCAGAGCTAATAGATGTTGAATGATGCTGATGTGAGCTACCAAAGCCCAGATGAGGGGCTAAACACCCCGCCGCTAAGGAAGAATTACCACCCAACCTCACCTGAACGTCTACCCAAACATCCTGGTGGCCCCTTAAACAGGCCTGAGTCAACAGATCTTAGATTTCACAGAAAAAACGGATCCAAGCTAGGAGCAAGGACGCTACGAACGGGGCTCCTGGCCTTACTACTAGGAACCAGAAGCTCCTATCCTGATCCGTCGGACCCTAGGGCTTCGTGCCCAAGCTCTTGCCAGGATGGGATCAGGCTCGGCACGGGTCCTTCAGCTTCATCGACCTCGTGACGGATTGCGACGCGGGTGTTCAGACGCCAAAGTAGGCCATTTCGGTGCAGCATAGGAACAGCTGGCGTGGCACAGCGGAACACCACGGATTTGCAAAGTTCATTGGAACGGCACTTGGAACCATAGAATTAGCATGAATTAGCACAATTCCTCCAAATCCCAAACAACAAGTAAGATCAAGTAAGTACATTTCGAGTGAATATGGGTTCTTAGGAGCCCTGTTCGTCCACAAGAGCGTATTCCTGGAGCCCTCAGAGGCTAGCATCCCAAACACAAACTCAACGAAGACGCTACCCGGTCACCATGAAAGGTGTGCGGGCTCCGTGGTGCGGGGAATCTCTGTCAGTGTACATCTTGACTTCTTCTAATTCCTGATGTTTGCGGGACTTTGTTTTAAATGGCCAGCATGTAGCTACAGGGATTGGAGGGGGGGGAGACCGTGTTCTACGTCAAACAACACCCAGGCCACACCCATGCGCCATCACACGGACATCTCCGCGTCAAGTGCCCCGGCGGCCAAGGCCAAGGTCTTGCGTGAACGCTCACCTCAGGCGGCCGAGGTTGGGGACGCGCCCGGGAGGCGACCGGGGCCGGGCGACGGCTGAAGGAGAGGCAGAGCTGCTGAGCTGCTCCTGAGCAGGGTCAGGCCTGTGGACCATACAGGAACAGACGGCTCCTCAAACGGATGAGGGCCAAGGGCCAACCGCGACTCGAGTCGCGACCGGTGGTGGTCATCCAAGAAGAATCGAGAAATGGTCGGCTAGGACCAAGGACGTTTTGAGTGAAAAAAGAGTCGGAGAGAATATGAGAGAACATGAGAGAATCACAAACTTATCATCCGTCCATATTCATCCAGGAACAGAACCAATTCATTTCAATATATTTCAGCATGTTGGATTTGTAAACTTTCAGGTCCTCACCGATTTGCACCCCCCTCCAGCTCTTCCCCTCCCTTCGAAGCCACTTCAGCCAAAGCTCTTGGAATCTCGGCTAGAATGGCCAGAGTCACGATGAGGAAATTCCAAAAGACCACCACCACCTGAGGACCGTACGGGTTGCCAAAACATGTAACATCCGTTCAACCCGCTTCTTCACCGGCCCATGACTCTGGCTCCGTGGCTAGTACGGACTACATCACCACCTGCGGCTGCACTTTATTGCAGGAAGAGGTCGGCTAAAGGCAATCCTCTTGAAACGCCGGGCGGCGGTGAGTCGTATCTTGCCTTGCGGCTTTCAAGAAGTATTCTAGCTGTAAAGACTGTATAGATCGAAACTCCAAGACGGGCATTGTGTTCAATCACAGACACAGCAGCCTAGCCCCAGCCTACAGTGCTCAATTGAAATGGCAAGACTTGACAACAGGGAAAAGGAAACAAAAGACATGCACACTATCAAAATAGTTTTGTGTATCTAAAGGTCACCAAATGCTGGTGGATTATGCTGGTGGATTGCATAGAGCATCCACCAAGCACCTCCAAGTTTGGCCGTTCCAAAGGACCGACGAGAGACCCCTCAAGAGGCTTCGAACAAATGGATTTGTTGGGTACGGCCTCCAATCTACTAGCGATGGCCTCCAACCTAATAGCGATGGCTTCCAACCTAATAGCGATGTGTGTATATATCTATATGTGTGTATGTATATATATATATATGTTACTTATCTATATACCCATGGTATTGACAAATATACTTGACAATTCCTCTGGGGGTCCTGCAAGTCATTTGATATTTAAAAAACTGGTAGGCCAAACCGATGGCGGCCATCATATTTCACATGAACTCTCTATTTAAAAAATATATATATTAAAGTAATAAAAGGACCAAGCTTGACCTAACCCTGAAAAATCATCAAATTTAGTAAAACGACTCCGCCAAACGCATGTCCTATTTGCACCTTATTTTTCTTGCCTGAAGCCTGCAGAGCGACATAGAGCGACATGACATCACAAGCACAGCGCACACAGTTTGTTCACCTTAATGATTACTCTCTCTTGTCTCTGCTCTGCGTCCCCAGTATTATCAGCCAAAAGTTCCTGCTTCAGCCCCGCCAACTAACCCCAACAGCTTTTTTAATGTCTTCGATTGCAAAGATACACAAAAGAAACTTGTGTGATGTTCTTCTACGGACTTCTTTCGACCAACGAAATCTCGTACTCACGGGCGCGCGCGCGCGCGAAAATCTCATCTCAACTCTGAAAAACGAGCGTCCGATGTCCCCCGGGTGTTATAACATGCCTTGACCCTGGGCATTTCATAGAGGATACTGTCATATCCATATAAATCCCACTACCAGTAACAGTGGATGATGATGGTTCGGTTGCAGGCCTTTCTCTATAATTCTTTACCGACTGTTGCAGCTCATGGGGCCCCATGGATGATTTACCATGATATAATCTGACCAAACCAATCAGATCCCCCAATCAGATCCACTGATCTGCGCTTCTTCCAGCACATCCAAATACCCCAATGGAGCACCCATCGGTCTTCCCTCTAAGGTCGCTGCTCCAATGAGCACCCATCGGTCCGAGACCTCAGGGCTCGCGTGCAACGCCACCGCCACGTCGTGGAGGCGCCTGCGGGCGGCCGATGGGTGCCACTCGAGGGGCACTGGCATCTGTACCAACATACTTACCTGGTGGTTGAAAAAAAGCCCGTCAATTGTAAGTTGCCACGTATGGAGCCGGGATCTATTGAATAATTACCAGATCCTCAAACGGTCGGAAGATGGGAACGCACGACTCCCATCGACCTTCTACCACCTGGGTCTCTTGTGCCGGACCGATGCAAATCCGCTCCGGACCGCCTCGAGAGCGTCATCTGGCGGCGGAAGGCGAGCACCGTTCGGGTGCGCAGGTCCCCGCAGACTCGAGTGGTGAAACCTCGTGAAACGGGTCGTGGTGGGGGTCGGCGGAGTGGGTTGTTTGCAGACAAGTTTCGGGCTGCAGGTCTGAAATGATCTGAGAGTTAAGAGTCAGTTTAGATGTTTAGATGAATTAAGATGTCATGTAAAAGGTGTCACACTGGCCAAGCGGCTTGCGCCAGGCACGCTGGGCGCGCCAGGCTGGAGCGCAAAGCCACGTGGCGCGCAGCCCGAGCTCCGTGGCCACATGGCGACATTCCGAGGTGGCTGCAGCGACGCGGCCTCTTCTGCCCTGGTGGCGCCGCCTCCCCCAAAAGGATACCGGGCTCATAGTCACAGTCATTGAGAGTCTAGAGTTGCAAGACGACAAGCACCTTCAAAGCAAGCAAAGCTTTAGAGATCCAGTTACTGAAGGGTCATCGTGGAACCAGTGATGCGTGTTGGAAGAATCATCGTCGATTCATCAGGTTTGTTGCACCTCATCCTGTCATGTGTTTTCTGAGTTTGATTGGAAGTTAGCAAGAGCCAGAAAATGAAGAGAATATGCTTTCAAGCTGCAGTCGTGACATGAGATCGCATGAACTGGATCATATGCATGATCCAGGAAGATTGGGCCATGTTCACCAGGAATCTGCCGTACATCTCGCAGAAGGGGTGACAACAGGGGCCTCCAGGACTCCAGCACCAAGAAACTTGTCCATCGGCTTCTAACTGCTATATAACCGAAACGCAACCGACGACTGTTTGATGGTGGTTCTTCAACGCCTAGTTACAGTTCTCATCGGAATGCAGCCTGGCCCAGCATTCTCCAACCTTGATTCATGTAAAGACTCTTCATGCTTAGCTTAGTTCTGCTGATCACAAACTCCAAAACACGCAGTCAACGTCTTCTTTTGGCTCAGCACACTCATGATCCTGTCCAACTTCTTTGCTCCAAAGCACTCAGAAGCGAAGCTTCTTCCGCAAGTACAGCACATCCTTCGCTCGAAAGGCCAACGTATATAAGGAAGTTCCACAAAACATAGTCTTTCCAAGTTTTGGTTTCATGAGCCTGGGTTGGCTGCAGTTGTTTCTATAGCCTTTGGGTTCAAAGGCAACTTCAGAGAGGTTTCTCCCTTATGTCCCACTCACCTCAGCCCATGAAGCGTCCGTCGACAAGAGTGGCAAAGAGACCTTCTCTAAAGAAGAAGCCTTCCTCAAGGACTGCGGGTGTGGTTGATGAGGGGAAGAGAAAGAGCCTGGGAAAGGAGAGAGCACAGCATAGAAGATTTGGGTACGCAACTTCTTCAGACTGGCTCAAAAGTAGTCAGCTTTAATAAGTAGGAGGTCAGTGAAAATCACAGATCTACTACATGCTTCATTCTAAGCTGTTTGAATCTCAACATCTGGAACTCTGACATACCTCGATTCTCATTCAATGTCGGTCTGAACTAATCACACATGTGACCAAGTAATCTTTAGACACAAAAGTAGATCGTTCACCTCTTGTGAACCATGCCGGCAAGAGTGCCGCTGGCTACTCTTCTCTCGAGAAAGTGCACATGCACTCGAACCTCCTGCTTACAGCAATTTGCGGAAGCAGTTTCGGATGTGGAGAGGGAGAGAGCTCGGTTTCAAGCTCTGGCCGATGAGCAGAAGGACTTGGGTAGCAAAAAGGTGGGTCACCTAGCTTGATATTCGCTTGTAGCATCAAATTAAATATCAACAGGGTGGTTCTACCCTCATAACTGTTTACTTTCACATAGCTTCCTAAACAATTGCCCACCCTGCCAGGAAGCCTTGTTGAGATAGGGACGTGCTGTTTGGCCTATCCGGTGAAACCGGACAAATTCTGGGATTTAATTGGCTCAAGGAGGGGTGGACCCCAGAATTTCACCCAAGGCCTTGGAACCACAGAAAAATCATATGTGTGTAAGCTAAAAGGCACGTGTGGAAAGGCCCTTTTGTTCTGAGGTCACTGTTCTTGTCCATTTGTTTTGATCAAAATTCCAACACGTCGACATACAAAACGCTGGAATTTTGGTGACATTGAAATCAAAAACACTGGAATTCTGGTGAACTTGCAGGCTGACTCCTGTTGTCACGCACAGGGTTGAAAGAAAAATCCGAGGATTTGTGTTTGAACAGTATGTTTCTTTTCTAGGACAGGTGGTGCAAACCATGCGAAAACACTGCCAGAGCCCAATTGCCGTTTGGCTTTTAGGGTGAGAACGTGGAGATTCTTCCCACAAATGGAAGATTCCCAAGAACGTCAAGAGGCAAATGGATTGGCTCTGCCACCGCGGCTGCTGGCATTGTTGACCAAATTCGGTAACCGAAGCGAAAGAGGCATTCTCTGTTTTGGTTTTGACTCTCTTGAGCAGCTGACTTTTGCCATTGATGCTGGCCATCGCAGTGGGTCCAAACGGCGCAAAGTGCAAGAAGCTTTAGATGTGGTAGGGCCGAATTTCAGAGAGGGGCATTGCAAAGTTTACAGGGCTGATGTGATTCCGTGCTTGCTGGGTCAATTGGGATTGTTGGAAATGGATCATGCGGAGTGGCTAAGGATCAGCGCATGGCTGGAGAACCATATTGTGTCGACAAACTTGTTTGCACATGTTCAAGGCATCTCCTCCGATCGCCAGTCATCAGAACCAAACACATTTTCTGAAGAGAATTCATTGCCAAGAAGTCGATCAGCAGCTTCACTATTCGAAGAGGCGGCGGATTCTTCAAATTGTTCTGCATCCGGGAATTCATCTTCAAGAACAGACCTGCAAATGCTTCAGATGTACCACCAGGAAAAACATAGAGTCCGTCTTCTGGAAAGTTGCCTGCGGAGGAAAAACGCCAAAATCCAGAAGAAAGAGAAAGACCTCAGACTTGAAAGGCAGAAAAACCAACGGTTGCAAAAGAAATTGGATGCTGCAAACCTTACCATTGAACAAGCCCAAAACCAGTCCAATCTGGCCTTGCGAGTGACTCGCACAAGTGATGCGAAGCTCATTGCAAAAGGAGAGATTTTTATTGAAGGAGAGACAGATGCAAAAGGATGGCTTACTCCGCAAGGTCTCCTTTCGCTTGCCTTGCGGCGGAACGTGGCTAATGTGGCTTCTACTGAGATGGGTCTCTCCATCATGGTCGATGTGTCCCGATGGACAGTGACCAGGGCTGAACTGAAAACAGCGGCTTGCTTGGTCGCGTCTTCACGTTTGTTCTGGCGATACTGGTATGAACAAATTTGGTCCTCTTCTCAGAGTTCACCAGATTCACCAGAAGATACTTTTTCGTGCACCATTGTTCACTACTCGCAGGATGCGACAAACCGAGCCATTTTCAATCGCCAAAAGCTGCAGTCTGTGATTGTGGAGGGGCACTATGTTGTGGTATCACAAACCAAGGCCAAGGCCCAGAACAATGCTGCTGGAACAAAAACAAATTCATTTGCACATGTCAACTGGCAAAGCATAAAGCGCTTGTCAGACGTTCTACCTGTGGTGGATGGGACGGGCAAAGCAACTGCAGAGATGAGCCACAAACTTCTATCCGGGCTGGGCTGTCCGACTTGGCGTTCCTTTAGCCAGGGTGAAATCGCACACGAAGAAGACGATTGCCATGCAACCCCAGCGGCCCCAGCGTTTACAAACCTTCAGATTCCGTTACTTGTCTTGGCTTCGTTAAAAAACAAAAAAAACGTTGATTATGGGTGACGGTGAGATGGGGTGAATGAGCATCCAATGAACAGTTCCCTGTTTTCTGCTGGTAGTGGTAGTGACAACCGGCAAATGACAACTCAACTCATATACCTTTTTCTACTGCGCAACACAACTTGGACAAAATGACCACCTAGATTTATATGACTTATACATACATATATACATATATACAGTATGTGATTACAATGGTTGCATGATGTTTGTAGGGCATTGGGACTGGACGCTACGTGTACATCGGCTACTTTACACTCCTGCTCAAGGTTAGTGTATGCTTGATATGCTGACAGTTCTTAGTTCTTGTGGGAAGATTTCTGGCTGTGACCGTGGCTAGTTCTGGTAACCGGTAAATGGTAGTTCTGGCTGTGACCGTGGCTGTGACCGTGGCTGTGACCATGTTTTCCTGCTTTCCTTACTTTTTTGGGGAAAGAGACTCTTTTATCGGTGTGAACTCCTCAACATAAGGACGAGTTCCGCTATATGGACATGCGTGACTACGGACAGAGGCTCAAATGAAATTCAAGCTCGCAAACACATCCTGAACCTCACCTCCAACATTGACCGGCTCATATACTTGGAGACGGATTGCTTCGAGCATGGCTTGCACTTGGCAGTGCTGGGAGGTCTTATGTTTGTGGACGAACTGCTTCAAAGGTATCAGAGACCTTGGAAATACTATTCATCCCTTGCGGTGCTGGCAAACTGTGCAAGAGACTCTGCCAAGGACTTGTTCAAGTCTTGGGAAAGCTTATACGGCTGCGAATCAGCAATGCAGCATGTGCAAACCCTGCTACCCAAATGCATTTCATCCAGGTGGGGCTCTGTCAACTGCTTGGAGGAGCGCCTTTTGAAGGGAGGAATGTCGAAGTTTGCTCATTCCCTCAGCAAAACCTTCCTCCAAAAGGTTTTGGCGGCAAGCGATGATTCAGAGCTGGATGAGAACTTTTTGGGCCAGATTTCAAGCATGTTGCCAGAGGACCTACAGACTGCATTTGCCAGTAAAGCAAAAAAGGCACGATCAAAAAAAGAAGCTGCAGAACGCTGCGGGAAGAAAGCAGCGCAAAGCAAGAGCAAAAAATCAAAGAGTGGGACTAGCGCTACCGCTACTTTGGGCGGCGTTGACCTTCTGGCAATGGAAGAGCTTAACGAATACACTGCTCGTGTGAACAGATGGCAAAGACATTTGCTGCTCACTGTCAATGATCGGCTATTTGCAGGGTTGGTTGCCATCATGAACAAATCAAGGCAGCCAATCATCCATTTGAGCAGCTTTGTGAAAAAGACTTCGACTTTGACTTTGAGTGCCAATTCTTCCAATGCAGCTGGAGGTTCTCTTTTTCAACTGGTGACGTTCAAGGCATTGGAAGTAGAAACTGAGTTCGACGAGCTTCTCTGTCACTCACCATTCAATGTTCGGAGTGAGTGAGTGAATGAGTCAATATATGTGGCGTCATTATTGCATAACAGCGTCACAGAGCATTGAAAAGTTGTGTAGTTTTGAGATCTGAATTGCTACAGTAATTATATACGGGGTCTTAATGTTGTTCACCAAGTGTATTCTGTATGTGCTATTATTTGTTTAACTCGAAGACGGTCGGTTCGCCGGTTCGCTTTGACGAGATCAAATGAATTAAGGTGAAAAGAACTTCTGGTCAGAACAATGGATTCATCTACCTTTGAAAGATCAAGAGTTCCTTTCGTCTGCTGCGACGCAGCTGGTTCTACTACATGCATCCCAATACCGGCGACGTGTATCGGAGGTGGTTGCTGGCTGGCCATACAAAGTCCTGCAGTTGATTTCCACAGAAGCTTCAGTTTTGTGTACGACAAGGCAAAATATTTGCAAGGAGATTTTGCAACAGCCGGACTCAAAGCTGCATATTGTCCCACGCAAGCTCAAGTCAATCTACGCAAACGATTTGAAGATTGCCGCAGCAACCGGCGCTTTCCCTGCTTTCTCTCCGCTGGCATGCGCTCTTGAGAAGTTGAAAGTCACTTTGAAGAGCAACACAACTGCCAGCGAGCGTGTCAACAAAATGCTCGGCATGTTTGGAGATCGGTATCCTTCTGCGACCAATGAGCTGATAAGTAGTCGTGCTGGCATCAAGTTTTCCCTTGGAGATGTGTTGGCGGCCAAAAATGAAGATGGAAGACCCATTCCAAAGACACCTGGCTGATAATTAATAGTGGCGGACATTTTTTTTGGGCGGAAAAGTGTTTGACTAGTATGACAACACTGCAGTGACTTAACTTAGGAAATATGTGTCACTGGGGAGAACTAGTTTT